TTATTATTATTTATTATATTGTTATGTATATAATATAATATGAAATGTCGAAAAGTCAACAAGTCATATCAATTGGTCGATGAATAATGGTTCACATGCATGATAAGGAAGCTTCATATTCTCTTCCCACACTTTTTTATGATCAACATGTTTTTTTTTAAAAAAAAAAAATTAAAAAAAATTCTTAAATTAATGAAAAGTGATTTTTAAATACATTAAATGTTGAAAAATATTAATTACTTAAAGTGATTTTGTAATTTTTATCGATAAAGTGTACAATTTGAAATCGGTTCATTGTATTTTTTAACTCCGATTCTGTTTATCTTAAATTAATAAAAATTTAAATTTAAATTTCGTTCGAATTTATATTTTTCAATACTAATGAAAATATAAATAGCTGTTGAATTAAATAATTGATACGCTCAAATTGAGGAAAAATTTATGATTTAACTTTATTAAAATCTAAATTATGTAACAACGATTTATCACTCATATAGTTTTAAACAATGTTTGTGTGACTTGGGTGATGCAATGCAATGTGGTCCCTTTCTTATCAACATTGGAATCTTATCATGTTCATATCATAACATGCATAAGCATGGTTAGGCAAGGTTATATGGCTTATATGACTGTTATATAAAATAATAATAATAATAATTAAAAACATAGAAAAAAAAAAACAAGAGACAAATATGATTCATGTTTGTCTCTTATATTCTACTTGCTCAATACAACAATTTTGTGGGTAAAAACATTGTCCATTCTAAGCCTTATCCTAACATATGCACCCAAACAGTTCCTTCACCGTTCATGTTTCCAATATTCTCTATTCTGCCTTTAAGTTCAACCACTGCAAATATGTTTGCAAGTTGAAGATGGCCGACCGACCAACCAGTCTGTAAGAACCAAGAAAGCTAAGGTGTGTAGATCGATGGAAATATGCAAGGTCGAACAAATCAAGGCCAAAATGCAAATTTTTCGGCTGGCTTTTCAGATGTATTTTTATTTTAAATGTCTTTGTTGGTTCACAAACACAATAAAATGCCATAAAAAATTATAAATATGATACGGTCTCCACATTATAATAGGACAACTTGATAACTCACTCTACTACAATACATCATGTAAAACTAGAAAAGAATCAAACCCAACAATGCAAAAACAAAACCAGATCAATGTATTTGATGATTCACGGGTAGCATGTCAAAGAAAAGATGTTGGCAGGAAAATATGTGACTAATGTAACTGAGGTGTTTAAGAGGATAAAATAGTCGGATGGCGTTTCACCTGACACTCATTTCAAGTTCAGGAAAATAAAAGAATAAATCGCATAGAGGTCCCTCATCTCCAACTTCGAGTACTTGAATTTGCAATCTATAG